TAAATCCGAAGATTGAACTCGATATGCACTGCGAGAAGCCGTGGGCACTGCTCAATTACGAGACAATTAAGTTCCCTTCTATTTAACGCGTTAAGTACCGAATATCAACACCAAACATTCCCACAATATCAAAGTCATTCAATATACAGGGTTCCCCGGAAAGAATCATCCGATTTCAAAAATTTATATTTTAAAAAATTACACACAGAAAATTATAATTCAAACACGAATATAACGGGAAAATGTGCGAGTTTTACTTTTTACCCCATTGGCACTTAAAGATTCGGAATTTTCTTAACACGGAACTACCAAACCGTTAGATTGGTCGCAGTTCATCCTATAATATGGTTCTACACAGTTGGCCTCCGAGATCACCCGACCTAACCCCATGCGACTTCTCCCTTTGGGGATTTGTGAAGGATCTTGTTTTCGTACCACCTTTATCTACAAGTGTAAATGAACTGAAAAAACGCATTTGTGATGCTGTATAAACAATTACCAGAGATACATTACACCGTGTTTGGCAAGAACTTTCATATCGCAATGATATCATACGTGTAACGAAAGGAAGTCATATTGAACACTTGTAAACAAAAACTCACACATTTTCCCGTTATATTCGTGTTTGAATTATAATTTTCTGTGTGTAATTTTTTAAAATATAAATTTTTGAAATCGGATGATTCTTTCCGGGGAACCCTGTATATAAATGAAAGCAAAACTGGAAAGTTAAAATTTACCATGGTACATATTAGCTTCGCTATTTTGTATCTTAAAAATCGTGGCAACATCTACAATATATTACAATAAAAATTAATTTCAAAAACTAGGTAAAAATTAGAGTCGCCCATGTGTGACCAACGCAGCACTCAACGTGTGAACGCTAAGCCAACCGTGCCGGTCATAATCAGCGGTATCGCATATTATCTTCTTTCAAAATTATTTCAATTATGAAGAAGAAATAATTAAATACATTTCTCGATTCAAGCGTACGTTATGATCGGATTACGGATTTTATACATTTATGATAAAAGTAAGTGCAATTTGATACAGTGAAAATTTTGCTATGATTTATTAACTTCGATACGCTAGCTTCAGTCAGTTAAAATGATTCGAGAAGGAATTTTGGCTCCTATTTGTTGCAATTAACGCAAAAAAATTTTATATAAAAACCAGCTGTCTAATAACGATCAAAGTGACGAAAAGTCTACACGAATTCAGTGTTATTACTTTGCAAAGCAACGCGCGTCAGTGGCTGTTAGTGGTCGGTATGTTCAGTGCCAAGGATTAAATTTCAAATACTGCAAAATAAAGCAGACTGTTTAGCATTTCAAAGAATGTTTTTCCAAGATGACTGTAAAGGATAAACCTGACAGGAAGCGCGAAAATAACCATGAGAAAAGGACTCTTTTTCTCCCCTCTTTAGAGCCGCGTCATAAAAGGACGTGAAAAATGACGATTACCTAAGTGACCGCCATCTTTCGGTTTTCTCGGATATTACGAGGACGTTCCCCCGCTTCGCCCCCGGACAGTGTCAATATGTTCAACTAATACACGGCACTACATATTTGGGAAGGCGTACAACACGCTCGAACCTAATTGCTCTACACTGTTCCGCTTTTAAAATCGTCGTACAGATATATCGATCCCTTATCAGGCGTAATGTGTAGGCGCACGAATCCGATACTAGGAATTCGCGATACAAGTCCTCGGCCGTCGCTGTCGTTGTGTGGCTTAACGTGTTATTTGAATAAACAATGGCACGGTAATACGAGTGCAAACGTTCGATGCGACACGTATCGAGTGCCACTCGAGCTGCACTTATTTCTGAATACGATGAGCGAGCTACCGTGACGCGATAAACTATAATTAATAATAATTCGAATGTTTAACAGATCGCCGTGTGCTCGCGCGGAACGCGGGCTGAGCATGCTTTGCAGAAACGCGAGCCTAATGCCGAGAGGATTTAACCGGAAGCTGCAGTTGCACCTGCAGTGAAGCAGCTTGAAACTACAATATGCAGCGCACTGTTCAATATTGTTTTGAATCGGTAAGAATCTTCTTGGATTCTCAAAACATTCAAATTCCAAGTTTATCTGTAAACGAAACGCTTATCTGTAAACGAAAATTGAGAACACTAGGTTAACCAAAGATTGATTTTTATACAGCTTCGATTTCCTCCAATCGATCGCAGAACATTCTTACTTTGCATAAAAATTCGCAATTTTAAATAATTTCGTGTCGACCACCCGTCACCACTACGAAACAATTTTCTCTAGACACACTCTTAATCTTCCGCGAGGTAGAAATTTGTTATCAGTGATCGGTAAATAGAAATTTTCCTGCCGGTCACCGGTGACCGACGCGCAATTCCGGCGCTATTTTCACGGCTGGTGCTTACCAAAACGGTGTGCGACAGTTGGATTTAGCACGGGACGATCGGGGACGGTTACTCCTTATGGGATTTTTCACGTGGATCCTGAAGGCACTTAACACGAGTGACGCAAGCACACACAACCGGTCACAAGATCACGACCCGATAACTTCGCGAGGTCCGCGAACGGCTCCGGTGCCATTCGTGCGACGGGAGCTAATGGTTGCGAGACGATACCCGTAACGATCGTTAAGGACAAACTTAATAATAGTAGCCGGATATTTACTATAGATCGCGAGTCATTCTATTGGCCGGTCAGAGACGAATTCATGACTCGCGGCCACTTTGCGAATATATCGCGAGCGGCGAGCCAAAATCATCGCGAACCGCATACAGGAGTGCACCCGCGCGCGAACATAACTCGTTACGATACACACGAGGGAGAATGTGATGGACGGGTTTGCTCGACATACGATGGATATCGTGAGCGAACACGCCACTTATCGTAATTTTCGATCGGCAATTAGAATTACGCAACCCGAGCGATAATTTATTGCTCCGATTTTTATCCAATAATACCGTGATATAACGCGATTTTCTTTCGATAAAGGTTAATTTCTTTGCGTGGCATCACGGATATGTTTACTTTACAGCTGGGGGTCCTTGGAGATCTAACGCGTGTATCCTTACTTGGAGATGATTGTTCGATGACGAATTGTTTTCAAATTGTGTTTACCATTTATTTAAAGCTCGTTCGATAAATGAAAACGAATCGTGAAGCGTGAATCGGAGATCGGAGACATCAATTATCTGGGAAAAACTGTTCCATGACTTCTTTATAAATAACGACTTGCCAGTCCGTAATTATCATATCTGTACAAGCGTCGGATTTCGATGACTTCATACGTATACTTGATCATCCTGGCTGACAACAGCAAAACAAGACAATTATATCGGGTCCGAGATTTCGCTGTTGAAACGATTTTGCCGAAACGTAACTGTCCCTACGTCGACACAAGTCAGTATACGATGGCAAGAATTTTATTCATAAATTATTCCACGTAACGAGCACCTACGATTTATCGTCCTTGTTCAAAATTGTTGACTCTAACTGCGTTCCCATCGACTATTGTTTCTCGCTAAGTGCTTCGAAGTTCGAACACTCGCGCAAGGTCAAAGTACCTCGATAAATCAGGGAATCGGGAGGAACATGTCAGAACCAGTTACGGTGCAGGATTACGTGCATCGCGATCGTAAATGTCGGAGGAGTTTCTCTTTTTGTTTACATAACGCGGTAGCGTTGTGCGCTGCGTACGCTTGAAAATCATGCACTGTGCAACCGCCGAAAACAACGGGTTTCCCAACCGAATGTTAACTTGACAATTGAACGTGTCGTTCCGACAACGTGAACCGAAGTGAATTTCGAAATCGCCGGTCGAGATGCTTCCTTCTCGAGGAGCGAGATATATCGCGAGGGATAGAATTGCAGCAATGGGAATCGCAGCGAAGGGACCTAACCTAAATATAGAAATCGGCGCTCGCCGATGGGGAATAATGCGCTCACCTTGACAGGATTTGGCGCCAGGACACTGTTTGTCTCGCGTGTTCGTCTGTCAAGGAGCCGCCTTGATTACGTCCAAAATGTCCTCTAGCGTTCACCGACCCGTTCCTTGCTCCTCGACATCCTCGTCCCGGTCGCAGAAATGTCAGACAGCGTAGCGCACACGCGGTAATTCGTTCCTGCCGAATCGCGCGTCCGTGACCGAGACGTATTTGAAACAACACACATCACAAACGTGAAAGAACCGTTCAAGCGCGAGCAACAACGTTCACTGATCGACAGCGGTGTTACGAATGCGACTTGCTTTTGTTTACTCTCTCCGGCTCGTGACAGCAGGTGGCGCAAGGAAAGGTGGGGGACCCCATGGTGATTCCTTTATCGGCCAATCGAGGGATCGAATCGTCTATCTTCGATGAATCGCGTCTCTTACCGATGCCCTTTTGTTTTTTTTTTATTTCAATAAACTATTTTATATTACGCTAATAAAAGAGAAATTTCCCCTGTGAAATCTCTGCATGATTTTACTGTTCAATAAATTTTTATTCTTTCTTGTTTTCTTTCCAAGAACCAATATCTACTAAATACAAAGTTTATGATCTATTTATAGAAATAAGGATCCGAAGGAGGTAAGGTGACCAATTTCTATGTCTTTGGTTTGTTTTCAGGCATTATTAACTTTATATTTATCGAATAGGACATATTAAATATTTTTGTTCTGTAATAAAAATTTAATGTCTTATTCTATAAGCATGAAGTTAATTATGCCCGAAAACAAACCAAAGACACAGCAATAGGTCACCCTGCGGTAACCGGTTACTCTACTCTATAGTGGTGTGAATAATTATAGACTCAAAGTAACTTTTACATCTGAACGGAAACTTAACAAAATACCATATTTGAATATTTATATTTTCTATTATTCCTATTATAGGCATATGCAAATACATTTTGTTAAGTTTTTGTTTAAACATCATTAAAAATGTAAAAGTTACTTCGAGTCTACAATTATTCACATCAATGTACACGTTCTTTTAACGTGTAAGAGGATTAAATGATTATGTGGGGTTCCATTGTACAAGTGTAAATCACAGTTTATTTGCAATCTATTAACATTTTAGACATGTACGGGCCATCGAGTTCGTAGCCCATTTTTCTGTAATAGTTCCGCGTCCCAACGCCTAAGTAAGAATTGTTAATACTTAGCTTAGTAACTGTTCGAACGTAAACATTAACTAGAATATAAAATTGCATTTTTATACCTGATATGACGGCGATTTTTTGAGATTGATGTTCGTCCCTCGCAATGCGCTCAGCCTCCTCCATTAAAAGCATACCGAAACCTTGATGTTGGAACTTCGTAGGGTCTCGAGCATTTACAGGGACTACACTGCCGTACACGTGGAGTTCTCTTACAATGGAACATTTGTCTTTAAGTTCTGGTCTGTAAGATATGAATTATTAGTAGCATTATTAAGTAAAAGTTTGAACTGATAATTACCTGAAGGTTTCATTGGAACATTTCCTTAATCTCAGCAAACCGACTAAGATATCTTGTGTAGGATCTTCATACGATAAGAAGGTTTCCCAACCACCATTGGCGACATAATCGCGACGAATGAGTTCTACTTCATAAGGTTGTATCTTATGGTGGATCTCTTGTATACCTACTTCTCGAGTTCTTACGTCACGGCAATCGGTCCCTAAGTCCTTCATTCTTGCCAGTGCCAATTCACGTAGATTACCGTGTTCTACACCTGAACTGTATGTTAAATAATTACGTTAGATAATTGTTCAAATAAAATATCGAAACTCTATTGAATATATTCATACCTGACTAAAGGCATTGGTATATCTCTTTGTACACGATAGACACGAGTCCAAGGCGGAATGAGGGCTAATATACGAGCTATAAGATCTATCAGAACACTGGGCGGATAACTTTTGTACCTTCCGGTTTTCCAAAGCTCATACAAGCCTGTACCACGAATGACCAACGTTGGATAAATTTTTAGACCATCTGCCCTGAATGCTGGGTTCGCAAAAAATTCCTGAAAGTAGAGGGACCTTTAAAAAAATTCGGAAGTGAAAGAATTCGAAATTATACAAGAGAGTGACCCACGATAAATTGATTAATGTCCCTTTCGCTATCTACATTCGGCAAATCTGGCATCATGTGCGCTACCACTTTGAAACCAGCATCCTTCGACATCTGGAAACTCTCACATACTGCGCGTACTGTGTGGCCTCTATTAGTATCGCGCGCTATATCTTCGTACACGGATTGTACACCAATCTCCAAGCGAGTACACCTGCAAAGATTATATCTTAGAAATACGTTCTGCAAATTATGACTTTTTATAATATAACTCTGAAGCATGGATACCCGTAATGTAACATGTCCGAAAGATGTTTCTTGAGGCAATAATCGGGCCGAGTTTCTATGGTAATACCAATGCATTTTGTTCGACTCCTTTCAGAGTATTGCACTGCTTCTTTAACATTGCTGCTAACATGTCCAGATAGTGCATCATGCAAATTTCGTATAAAATAATCTCTATAATCCTCTGGCAGAGACATAAATGTTCCTCCCATGACAATAAATTCAATTTTATCTACACTGTGTCCTAATTGTTTTAGCTATAACAAGATTCGGTATTAGCACTCGTGAAGGAGTTGTTTGTGAAGTTTCACATTCACCTGTTCAATACGGTGCCTCGTTTGCAGGAATGGATTATACCTTGCTCGAATGGCCCTCATAGATGTGGGCTCGTAACCAGTATACGACTGTGTTGAATACTCAAAATCAGAATCGGGACCACCAGGACAATACACGCATATGTTTCCTGTCATATTAATGTGAGGACATCTATGTGGCTTGCACATTACAGCTACAACAGCAATCTGAACAAACCAAAAGACTCAATGTATGTTCTACAATAAACTGGTACATGAATTATCATATATTGTAGTACTAACTCCACTAGCAGTTCTAATAGGTTTAGCTTTCAACTTTGGCAATAATATATTCCTTGCATCTACAGGTACAGCTGCAATAATGTCAACCAATCTAGGCGAAGAGTCCAAACCATACTTGGAAGATATTCTTGTTTTTAATTTATTTAAATCTACATCCCGATTTGCTTCGTGTGCCTTTAACAATTCCTGTATAATCTCTCCAATCGTTATCATCATTCGTTCCTCCTTACTTTGTTCAAACTCTAAAAATAAAATTACTTCATTTGAATGAAAAATTTTTATTAAATATTACCAAAAAGAAAATATTTACCTCTTTTCTCCCGAACCATTATTGTATGTTACAAAATTATCCTACACACACAGGCGATATAACTTTAACGAACAATTAACACTTCTAAACTCCGTTTTTATTTAAAAAATATAGGAGTTTAGGTTAACTCGAATGACACTGTGCACGCTTCCATTCGTGGAAGCGAACTTCTGGTCATCTAACGGTTGATGCTGCAACCATCCAAACATCGTCAATTGGTAAGTAAATTGTCAAATTATTTTTCTCGACTTACCTTCAGTTGGTTCGTATTTAACTTGAATTTAAGATTAGAGCATAGGCAAAAATAAGGATAGATCTAACACCACAGCTCAGATTAGGGTTGTAAGAGTAGGCTAATTTAAAAATGATTTTTTATCACGCAATTGTGTGTTCAATTTTGCCCAGGATCCACCAGAATTCACCATAGTCCACAAGACGACTCTATGGACCTGCAAATATCCTGTTAAAACTGCCAGAATTAGGATTAGAGATCCCAGGACTTCTGTCATCTCCCGAAGGTCCCTCCAATCTGGCCATTTCTAGCAATTAAAGGGAGACTGACAATTTTAAGGTGTTCACTTCTATTTGTATCTTTGCCTGCATATCTTTTGCTCGACTGAACGCACGTACATCTGCGGAATTCGTCGTTTTTTTAAATTGCAACACATACGAAATTATGTGCTCTGGACAAGCTATATTGGCCTACACCTGTTAACAAATGTTAATTCAAAGATGCCACATCTGTTTTCAATCACTTAGAAATAGATTATCAAAATCATCATTCTGAATATCTTCTTCTTCCTGTAGGTATAAAAGGTACTTTCTTTTAATTTTTGCAATATTCGCGAAAATTGTTCCTATTACTAGAATGAATACCTCATGTACCCACACATCCGTGACACGCAGTCGGTAATCGACAGAAAGATGAAAGAAACTGTGACGAAAGCGCGCGCTTTTACACGACAATTCGTCAACAATAAGAAGAGCGCCGCGGAGGAGGGGAGAAATCGACGGTTCGAATATAGCGCCCCACGAATTTAGTCGGAAAGGCCGGCTGTGGGTGGCGCTGACTAGCCGCGGCATGAATTGAATATACGCGAGAAACTCAAGCGTCTGCAACGCTATAGCCGCCAGTTCCGGGTTCGCCCATTGCGCACGCGTCGCACGTTTATTATCTTCTTTCTGTTCAAGTGCCATTTCATTGCATGCAGTGCAGTCTATAAAACAGAGAATGCGTTCTCGGTGGATCTCGAGTTTCCTATCACTTATCGTCATTCGTAGCGTATAAACATAACAGCACGCGGTCATTAACTTACAAATTGTTTACGTGTCGCGCGCGCGAGTACAGGCACATGAGAGCTGGCTGATATCGGCGTCGGGATGCTGGTTACTGCTGGTTACTGCTAGAGGAAAAAAAAACCGGATCGAGAACCATTGTAAGCGTCCACGGGCTTTCAGGGTTTCGGGTTGAATAATCGCCAGTGCCGTGAACATCGAAGCAAAATGTCATGCAGCTACGCGGACGGGCTATCGCACTACGAAAACAAAGGAGTGCTGGGTCTCGCAGAGGTAAAAAATCTCCATTGTTACTGGGGCTCGTTTGGCGGGAGTCTATCGGTCATCCGCGCGACCCTTTCAACTTTGACCCTTTGTTGTTTCGTGTCCGCCTGTCTCCGTCGCCCGTCCTCGTCCCGTTTCTCTCGCTCCCACCGCTTTCCTCGGTTCGCTGTTTTTTTTTCTCTTGTTTTAATTCCCACCATCGTTCGTTGTTTTCAGCGATACGACAGCGTTGAGGCGTTACGGCTGAAATGCGGTCTACTCGCCGATTGGATACAAGCGGCACGTCACGTCGTTGTTCACACCGGCGCCGGCATCAGCACTGCTGCGGGCATTCCGGATTTTCGGTGATTATCATTTGTAATTTTTCGCTCGAATCCCCACCCTACTTCTATGTATTTCCATCCCCTCCCGCCGCAGCCCCGACGGCCCATCATTCCGGATCTGTTGTGCGCCCGAAAGCGCCACCGGTCAATTCTTTTAAATTAATCAAGCGGGAACGGGAGCCGCGAAGAAACAACCCGGAATCCGTTTCGGTCGCGGTGTCCACCATTGTTGTGCGCAGCTTTGGTGACGATCATCCGTCCCGGAACGATGATAAATTTAACAGGCATACTCATGATTGGACGCCAGATACGAGACGGAAATGCTTTTCCCCCTTTTTTTTCTAGATCAAAAACAGGCGAAATAAAATCTGAGATGTTCGACTTTTAATCATTAGCTCGTATTATTTTTAATGAGTTCACTGTTGAAACATCGTTCGAAAGTATTTCACAAAATTAAATTAAATTAACCGTTAGAACTGGAACTAGAAGTGCAACTGAAAAATTGAAATATATTTCAGATTTTACAAAATTCCAATTGTAATGTGAATTTTTTAGAATAATAGATTGTTGTACAGGTCATGATGTTTGTTTAAAAGTTGATATGCTAGCTTAGATGTTTATTGGATTGAAATATGTAATTACAATTTGCATGGTTGATTGTTTGGTATTTTAGAGGTACAAATGGAGTATGGACATTAGAACAGAAAGGTCTAAAACCTACAATGAACACATCCTTCGATGAAGCAATACCTACCAAGGCACATATGGCATTAAAAAAATTAGTGGAAGCCAGTGAGTATAATTAATGCCGAAAAAACCGCATGTAGCTGGAGTGTTAAAATCAAATTGATATAATTCTGTTGTAGAAAAAGTAAAATTCATCATAAGTCAGAATATCGATGGCTTGCATCTACGGTCAGGACTGCAAAGACAGCACCTCGCAGAATTGCATGGAAACATGTTTACAGAACAATGCGACAAATGTGGCAGGTTAATATCTTGCCTTTGAAATTGCAGACAGTTAGACAGACATTTAGGAGAAGAACTAATATAGCATACTTTTCTAGGCAATTCATTCGGAACTTTGCAACGAAAAGCGTGGGCAAGAAATCATTAGACACAGTCTGTAGGTCGGAACAGATAGGTGGTCGTCCTTGTCGTGGCCGTATGCACGACACCATCCTCGATTGGGAACACAACTTGCCAGACAGTGATCTGACACTGTCTGACCTGCATTCTAGGTAATCCAACGTTTCTATGCTAATGAAAATGTTGATTTATTCGCACATTATGTTCCATGTTATGTAAACACTAAAGGTGGAAATCTGGAGGCGTTGCACAAATTTTTCAAGAAGAAAATTGATCAAAATCATATCCGCAAGAGAAACGTGTAGTCATGTGGAAACGTGACTGATTCTTTATTCGTTCACTAAAAATTTGGTATTTTTTTGCGAACAGATGAAAAGAAGAGCGCCTAAACGTTTCACGGTTGTTGAAGTACATGTTAGATGTTTAAAATTTCGATGCATCTACGCAAGTATGCGAAAAAATATTTTGGAAAGCTTTCGTTGATCAGAAAATCCTATCTCGGTGTCTCAGGTTTCAGTTGACAATTATATTTCATTTACACGGTAGCAGGCACGCTGGCTAGAGAAAGACTAACATGAGAAACGTACAATTACAGTGTGGCTGACTTGAGTATATGTCTGGGGACAACATTACAAATTATTCCCAGTGGTAATCTACCTTTGTACACCAAAAAGTATGGAGGTCGGCTGGTTATATGTAATCTACAACCCACGAAACATGTAAGATAACATCATGTAATTAACCATACTCTCCTGAGTCCACTAACCGATAGATTAACAATTTAAGGTTGTTTATATGTAAGTTATCTAATGACGATTACTCGAAAGATCGACGATGCGAAATGAAAGCGGCGTTCTTAATTTTAGGATAAGAAAGCGGACTTGATAATTAACGGCAACGCCGATGACATCATGGTCAACGTGATGAAGAAATTAGGTTTGGAGATCCCAGAATATGAGAGCACAATGGATCCAACACGAAACTCCGACACAACGTCCAAGGAGATGGACTGGACAATACCGACCAGCAGGGTAAAGGAGATGAACGTCCTGTACAAGAAAGTGTGCAAGCCCATGAAAAGGAAACGGAAGACGTTCATGTACGAGAGAGAGCGGACGGACACTAAACGAGACGCGAAAACGAAGAAGCCGGCCTTTATGATGGACCAGGACATAAAAACGGAGGATCCGGAATCATTGAACACGCCGAAGATAGAATGCAACGATCCGGTGGTCGGCGACATGAGCAGTAACCCTGTGAAGATCGAGCAGGACATCAAGGATCAACTGGAACCGTTCGAGGAGTTTTCAACGGAGAGTGTCAGCCAGCCGGACCCCGGCTTACAAGTGTCAGATATACTGTAGCATGAAGATTTCAACATATGGTGATCTTAACGACCTAATATTCTTGTTGAGGGGTTCTTCTGTTTCGGAGACTTGACAACAAACTAAAAATTCGACAAGCCTTTTCCTGTTAAATCAGATCACAAAAATTTGAAGGATTCAACGAAAAGGGTTGTAGATTTCGAGAAAGCTGCGACCGGAGCGGTTCCTCTGTTATAAGTCTGACGAATGATCGAGTTTTCGGGCTCTGAAACAGAAAAACCCCTTTAGTTTTCAGTCTACGTTCAACTTATCCATGAGTGCATATAGAATGGATGTTATCTGCATGTGAAGAATGCCTAAAGTGCTACCGATTTGTTTATACAGGAAACGATATCGTAGTAAGCGGGGGGGAAAAGGTCACAGAGAATTGTAACAGAAGTTCGGTAAATCGCTTTTATCGTCAGATGCCAGAGAACGCTGCGCAATACGTGTACATATGTGTAGTAGTAATTTCGTGATCGCTTCATGTTTTGTCCGCTTGCCCCATTACTCGAGCGTGTGTACAAGCGTAGTTCATGCCCTGAAGGTCAGTGTTTCAGCGACTAACGTTGTATCATACTTCCGACCTGCGGATAGATGCATGCACATCATGGGTTCTTTCCATTGTCGTAGTACATTGTCTAACGTTATGTACTTAAGATGATTTATTTAGGATCGTTTGTAACACGTTGATAGGGATCCTGCGTAGATCTCTCAAGAGAGATGTGTACTTACAGGTAATGATGTAGTCAGAGAGGTTATGGGTGCTGAATACATCTGACAAATGTTAAGAATTAACTTCAATTTATTATTTGAAAATTTTTATGATAGTTTGGCTGCAGATGATACTAAACAATGCTTGAGAAGGGGGCGGGCTGTGAGCCAAAACAGATCGAGAAACTATTGTTACATATTTTGAGTCTTGGAAGTGTTTAAAGTAATTTCAGAATGAGGTTTTTGGGCCAGTATACTGTCTATCGTTACCTAGAAGTACACACATTACATATTACGTTTAAGTGCGTTTAATTAACATATAAATATATATATATATGATATATGATATATATACACTGTTCGTGTTTTCTGAAACTGTGACCAATACTTCCGGAGGTTGTTCGATTATTGATGGAGCGATTAAGGAAGTTCTATAATGATGTTTTAACTGAGATACTCGTTGCTAGCTTGGAACGTTTAAGATTGAGATCTTTTTAATAGAAAGCTCCGTACGAGCGTCGATGTTGTTTGGTCATTTGATAGTTAAGTGTCTCTTTCTCGTTAAACGCACATGTTTGTACAATCGCAACTGCGATACAGATCTCTTCTCCAGAACGAACGTCGAACCAAGCAATAGATACGTCGATGTTCACACATTGTGATGATGAACAATGGCTCGCGGAAGTGTTCGAAAACCGTTTAAAATGGAATAAGTTTTTTTTAAATTGGACCAAATGACTTAAAATAAAAGTTATAGGCTCAGATAAAACTGTTAAAAAAACATGAGATTTTTATTTGTACCATAATTTTAAGTAAATGCAATTTGAGGAAAGAACTTTTTAGGCATTGTATAGTAAATTTATTTTTTCAATATCTCTAAAAAATTCAAGTCATTCCGTCGAATTATAAACAGATTATTCCATTTTAAAAGGTGTTCGGAATACTTTCGTAAACCATTATTTATGCCCTCGTGAGCAACTCGGGAAAGGAAGTGCAAATGATTTACAAAAAAAAGAAGGAAATTTGAATAAGAAGAAAAAGATATATAAGCGAGTCTTTCTTATATCGGCATTCGACGCTATTCAGTCGATAGCGTGTTTTACGGTAGAACGCAGATTAGTGAAACGTGTAATATTTATATGTACATAGCGATGCGCGCTTGGTTGCTCTTAATAATTTATTACTTTAATTGACATTATTTACTGGACGTTACTATTAGTGAAATATTATAGCATTCGACGGGAAATAAAACTATGGAAACGGGATCTGCGACTATGTTATCTATACCCACCTATTAATTTGATCTGCGTCTGCTTGTCAATCGTTAAGATTAAAGTAAGGTGTGGTAATTAGACTACAGATCTTTATATCTTCAAACACATTAGACTATAGAATTTTTCTTTGATTCATTGACATAAGTTTTACTATTATTTTGTATATGTACTTATTTTTGTCATAAATGCATGAAATTTANTACTATTAGTGAAATATTATAGCATTCGACGGGAAATAAAACTATGGAAACGGGATCTGCGACTATGTTATCTATACCCACCTATTAATTTGATCTGCGTCTGCTTGTCAATCGTTAAGATTAAAGTAAGGTGTGGTAATTAGACTACAGATCTTTATATCTTCAAACACATTAGACTATAGAATTTTTCTTTGATTCATTGACATAAGTTTTACTATTATTTTGTATATGTACTTATTTTTGTCATAAATGCATGAA